CTCTTTGTGGCCTTCCCAGATCTTACAAGGGCTTTTGATTTGATTAGCAGGGACAGCCTTCTTTAAAATATTTCCCAAGATTGGATGTCCACCTCGACTCCTTAACATCATCAGGTCCTTTCATGAGGAAATGAAGGGCAGTGTAGTTTTTGATGACTCAACATCAGATCCCCTTGACATCCAAAGCAGAGTGAAAAAGGGCTGTGTCCTTGCACCGACTCTGTTTGGGATCTTTTTTGCTGTCATGCCGAAGCACGCTTTTGGAACTGCAACAGAAGGTGTCTATCTCCAGACTAGATCAGATGGAAAGCTCTTTAATCTTTCCAGATTGAGAGTAAAGACCGAAGTCCAGCTGAAATGCATGCAAGACTTCCTCTTCACCGATGATGCAGCTATTGTTGCCAATTCTACTGACGACCTCCACCAACTCATGAATCATTTTAGCAAGGCTTGCCAAGACTTTGAATTAACAATCAGCCTGAAGAAAATACAAGTCATGGGCCAGGGCGTGGACTCACCTCCCTCTATTACCATCTCCATACAAGAATTGGAGGTTGTCCATGAATTTGTGTACCTTGGCTCAACCATCTCTGACACTCTCTCTCTAGATGTCGAGCTGGATAAACACATTGGCAAAGTAGCTACCATGTTCTCTAGACTCACAAAGAGAGTATGTCTTAATAAGAAGCTGGTGGCATATACCAAGATCCAGGTCTATAGAGCTTTGTTTCCTGAGCACACTCCTGTGCTGCAGTGAGTCCTGGACCCTTTGTGCATGGCACGAGAGGAAGCTGAACATGTTCCATATGACACATTTTTGGTATCACCTGGCAGAACATTTTTGGTATCACCTGGCAGAACAAAGTTCCAAATAGAGTAGTCCTAGAATGAGTTGGAATTTTTAGCATGTATCAGTACTGAAATAGCAATGTCTATGTTGGCTTGGCAATGTCGTGAGAATGGCTGATGGTTGGATTCCAAAAGATCTCCTGCATGGAGAATAAGTGCAGGGAAAGCGCCCCAGATGGAGACCACAGCTGTGATACAAGGGTATCTGCAAGCGGGATCTGAAGGCCTTAGGAATGGACTTCAACAGATGGGAAACCTTGACATCTGAACATTCAGCGTGTAGGTGGACGGTGCAGCATGGCCTCTCCCAATTTGAAGAGAGACTTGTTCAGCAGGCCGAGGCAAAGAGGCAGCCCTGAAAGCAGCAAAATCAGGGAGCTAGACAGGGGACATATTGTATTTGTCTTCAGTATGGAAGGGATTATGACTCTCAAATTGGCCTTCTCAGCCACACTAGACACTGTTCCAAGTCCTCTATTCAAAGCAAGTTACCATAGTTTCTTGAGACTGAAGAATTTACTCTCTGCCTAATCAGAATCCAGGAGCAGCTGATATTTTCTCTGTCCTCCCCCTGCTTACTTCACTCTCTCCTTTCTTTAACCCTTATTTTTAACCATCCAGCATTTTCAAATTTTAATGTTTTTGCTTTTTGCTTTCACTTTTGCGCTATGGACACTGCTAGAACAGGCCCCCTGAATCAATGGAACTTACAAAGGAAGTGATTCACCAAACCTCCACTGATTCAGTGGGCGTACTCTAGTTGCAGCTCACGATTGGCTTTCAGCCATAGCTGTGAAAAGCAATATCATGTCAAAAATAATTTAGAAAACAGAATGCAGGAAAAGCTGAAAACCTAAAGAAACCTAATTAGGAGCAGCAGTAAAGTGTGGCGGGATGGAGACTAAACTGCAGAAAAAAAATCAATAAGCAAATGTGAACAGAAACACCCATCCATAGAGTGTACAGATCACTCCCTAGTTTGTAGATCAGTACATGTGAAGACTTTACTGGATACTGCATGAGTAGACCATGCACTAGAGCAAAGTGAAGCCATACAGAACAAAAATAATCCACCTCCATTCACCCTCCATTCTTTCCCACCTCATTGCCTGAACAGCCAATGTGGGCATTTAGGTGTTAACTGCCACTAGAAAAGAAAGTCCTGTTTGGTGTACGTAACTAAAGATTTTTATTCTATTATAAATCATAAACCATGAAAACAGGATGAAGTTTTTCATACAGCCTTATATCTAACATAAACCTAATCCTAATTTCTTGCCTTAATCCTAACCTATCTGTCTCTCCATCTCACTCAATAAAATTGCTTGTCACTGTCTCTTATCTCTTGTCTTAACACTCAACATCTAAAATCCTACCTGTAACTCATCAATTGCCTGCTCTGAATATTCTCTTATCTCTAACTCTCTAATACCCTCCCTCCTGGGCTGGGGAAGACAGCCAATGAAAATTGGGTGCTATGGAGGCATGCCCCCCTCAACTGCCGTAACAGTTCTTCTCTGTCAGTCATCCAACACTCAAACCCTTCACTGCATCATGGGAATAACTAATTTATTACAAATCCTCCAAAAACAACAATAAAGAGGAGGGGGCTGAAAGCATCAAAAATAGTAACATGCAAGTTGAATGGACAAATGAGAGAGTTGTTGTTGACCAGAAACAAACAAACCAAAATACATATGACGGAGAGGGATGTAAAAGTCATAGCAATAGGGGGGCTTTTTGTTCTTGATTTGACAGATGCTTATCTGTAGAGGCTTTTGAGCAGTGGTGTCCAACCTTGGCTCACCAGATGTTCTTACACTACAGCTCCCAGAAGCCTTCACCACCACCTCTGCTGGCCAGGATTTCTGGGAGTTCAAGTCCAAGAACATCTGGAGGGCCAAGGTTGGACACCACTGCTTTAGAGAGTGGGAAAATGCTGATCTATAGAGGCTGATCTAGAAAGTGTGGAAAAGTATAGCCAGAATAGCTAACTACAATTCTAAGAATGTGAATAAAGAAAGAAGAAGAAAATAGGAAAAATCAAATTTAGTAACTGCGGCTAGGGAACAAAACATCAAAACAACAACAACAGGTTATAGGTACCATAAAGGAACAGTGTTAAGTCAAGATATGGGACTATAATTAGAGTGGGATTAAAAGAATTAACCAGCTTGGTTGTTGTCAAGGAAGCAGAAAGGGCCAACAGTAGCAGAGATTTTATTGTATTTTTGAAGAGGTGGAATCATTTAGCCATGATGATGGTGACAGAGCCTCTCCTTCCAAAGCCCGTTAAAGAACGGCAGAAACAAACATTATAGATAGTCTCTCTTTAGAAAAGCAATATCCTCTTCTTATAAGTGAGTGTCACAGAGGAGCTTCTTTAAGCTGTCAGAGTTCACAAACTAGCTTGCTTTGCAATCAGCTTTCAGGAGTTACATGTGAGATTATTTTGAAGTCTGATTTGTTGACCACAAAAGCCCTATTCAGCTGTTTAGAGTTTTTTTGAATGCATGAACAGGTTGAGGGATATAGCCCTATCCCCTAGCCTGTTCTAATTTTTACTGGGAAAAAGGGGCACGTGGCACGCGACAAGATAAACCTTTCTACTATATGTGGAGTTTCCCCATTCAGTCTGGGATCCTGAAAAATTAAGAGCTCAATTGCTAGAAAGACTCCATATATTGTAGATTTTTCACTTCTTCATCCTGTCCTTCAAATGGAAACAGTAGCAGGTGGGAATGGGGCTAAAGCGATCTCCTCACATATGGAGAATGCTAAGAGCCTGCTTAAATTATGTTTCCCCAACACAAATTGTTTTCGGCTCTAATGATGGATTTTCTGTTTTGTTTTGTTTTGCCCTCTGTCTTTGTAATGTGTCTAAAATGTTGCTGAAGTGAAGGCTTGATGATATTAATCTCTCTCCCACCTTGCAAGTTAAAGACAGGTTGCTGTAGGCTTGACCTTTAGAAAGGGGCTGCTGGCATGAAGCATCTATGAGCCTTTAAGGCCAACAGCCTTCTCTACCTCAATTGGTGCCCTCCCACGGTTAAGAGTTTTCAAAATATGTTCTTGTCTTTCTATACCATGTAGATGGCTCAGTACCTTGAAACTGTCAGTTATATGAGGAGAATATACTAGGAGAGCTGAATCCTCACATACTGTATGTATAGCAGTCAGAATGCTATATTCAGGCATTAAGAACAGTAGCAGTCAGTTAGTCACTTTGTTTTAGCCACAACAGAAGATGGCATTTGGATGGGTGGAAGTCAACCAATTCCCATGAAAAATTGGGAGCAAAACTACCTTTTCTGCAAACTCTGAAACCCACTTGCTCTCTTACCAAGAGACAGACTTACACACCTTGGCACAGCCACATGCTACACACACTTTGAAGTAGGCAACCCACTGTAATATGAATAACACAATCCTCCCACAAGCCAGAGAGGATGTAGACTTTACTCTGCAGGTTGCCTCCTCTTTAATGATGACTATACACTGTGCAGTTAGATCATTATGCCTTTCCCAAGAGAAGACAAGAACCACCTTTAGACAATGCGATCACCTCCACGTGCATTTGTGTGGCATCAAATGGTTAAACAGAAACGATTAATAAAACCATTTTGGCTCAGGTGCAATTTGAAAGCAGATTTACAGATGGGGTCCATCTTTGATTTAACACTACAGTTTTTTGATCAAGCTTAACTTTCCTGTCTTGAGAGCAAGACAACATTAGTACAAAAAGTCACCCAGTTAAAAACAAACAAACAAACCAAGGAATCTGCTAATGAAGGGAACCAACTTATGCCCCTAAAATCTAAGCATACTCTAAGCCGCCAAGATTAATGAGAGGACATGCAATTCTCTTCCAGATGAAGGGGAAAGATAGGCAAATGGCTTCATAACTGCTTTTTTACATCTTACTAGACCAATCTCCTGCTTCCAAAATGCATTTTCATTTCCCTCTCTTCACAGCCTCAATCAATACGCTTGTCTCCGAGGGTTTTATTTTATATAAAATTACACTTGCTGAGCAATCCTATTTGCAATACAAATTTGCAGAGAAAAATCAACATTGACATTGCAACAAAGCATTTACCACATTTGGCCTCAGCTGTGATGAAATACAGGTGAATAAATAATATAGGTACCATAAAATGTTAGCTGGCCTCTGGCTACATTCTTCCCTCTCACATTTTCAGCCACACACTCATACAGGCCAGCATCTTCCTGCTGAAAGTTTGGGATTTCAAGAATGCTGCTTGATTTGTGCCTCCGAGCTTTTTTTGGGATTTGTTTTCCATCTGTTCTTCTCCAGCTAATGGTTGGAACAGGGCTGTTTATCAACAACAAAAGGAAAAAAAGAGAAGATGGATGCTAAAGACTGTGCTCTCTTAATTAGGCTGCTATAGAGAGAAAGACAGAAAGAGAGAGGGGGAGAGGATCAATATTCCAGATGTCATATCTTCAAGGTTCTGCTCTAAATCCAATTCATTAGAGCTTTTAATTATAATGATATAGAACAGTGGTTCCCAACCTTGGGTTTCCAGAAGTTCTTGGACCAAAACTCCCAGAAAACTTCACCTCTAGCTAAGCTGACCAGGATTTCTTGGACTTGCAGTTCAAGAATTCCCAGAAAACTCCACCTCTAGCTAAGCTGGCCAGGATTTCTTGGACTTGCAGTTCAAGAACATCTGGGGAGTAGAGATGGGCATGGCCTTTCATCCCAAGTCATCTGTGCACTGGCTGTCGCATGCGGCTCTGTCCATCCCCATCGCACAATCTTCCACTTCCCTTCTCTGCCTTCTTCAGCATCTGGCCACTGTCAAAGCCTCACGGATTGTGACTTAGGACATACTAAATCTTAGCTGTGTTCTAAATCAGTGGTTCTCAGTCTTGGGTCCCTTTGTCCTAAGTCGTTTGTGTACAGCACAGCTGCTGCGTGTTCCCTTCCCCCAACCCCCTTGTCAGCTGTGTGTTCTTCCCCTCCCCTCACTGGAACCTCCCCTCAACGGCTGGCACATGCTGCTCCATCCCTCCCCTTCATGCAATCATCCAGTCCGGGCAGCCCAGACTTCCCTTCTCCACCTCCTCCAGCAGCTGGCCATTCAGATAACAAGATGGGTCAGGGATTCATGCAGTGCTGCCTTTGAGTGGCCAGCTGCTGAAGAAGGCAGAGAAGGGAAGTGGAAGATTGTGCGATGGGGATGGACAGAGCAGCATGCGACAGCCAGTGAATGGAGGTGCTGACAAGGGGGTTGGGGGAAAGGAACACGCAGCAGCTGTGCTGTACACAAACGACTTAGGACAAAGGGACCCAAGACTGAGAACCACTGATTTAGAACACAGCTAAGATTTAGTATGTCCTAAGTCACAATCTGTGAGACTTTGATAGTCTGTTGTTGTAACAAAAATAAAGAGATACTTACAGAATGACACACTCAATTTAGAATGATTCTTTACTCATCTAAAATATTGCCTCAGAGTCAATTTAATCTTCCCTTGGGCAAGATCATTTCATAATTAGAAGCTGGGCATATGTTGACAGTTTTACCTTAGGAAAGGAGACATGTTTCCCCATAATTCAAAGAGAAGCATTTTTCTTTGGAATGAAGATACACATTTCCCATCCGGTGACTAACCTTGTTATATTTATCATTCGCCTAATATGTGGAACATTGCCAATTGTTCTAACACTCCAAGAGAAAAATAGATGGTAGCTGCCAATGTAAGTGAACTCCAGCTGAAAAGTAATAAGCAAGGAGTGTAACAGATCAGCTTCAGAGTTGGCCAGTGTGCTGGCTTAGAAACATTGCTGCAGAATTTTGGAAAATGTCACTACAATTGTGCACTTCCTTTCCTTTTAAAAAAAGAAATACATGATCAAAATCCTATTAGGATTTTACACTGATGTAATGCAAACAACACAGCTTTTCGAAGCAAAATCCTCAAGTTAACAAATCACTGCGGACACCATCTGTTGTGTGCTGAGTCACACAACTCTGTATGCAACACATCATGCTGCACAAATGTGGCGTTTGCATTACTCATATGGATATAATTAATAGGACTTGGACCAACGTAAACTTTGTTGCCATGATAGATTCCTTCACTTTATATATGCAAGTTCTTAAATGGTTTAATTTAAGAACCTGAAATGAGATCTATTATTTAGAGCAGTGGTTCTTAACCTTTGTTACTCAGATGCTTTTGAACTGCAACTCCCAGAAACCCCAGTCAGCACAGCTGGTGGCGAAGGCTTCCGGGAGTTGCAGTCCAAAACTCCTGAGTAACCCAAGGTTAAGAACCAGTGATTTAGAGGAGTGCTGCTCATGGCACAGCTACTGTCATCATTATCAGAAGGGGGAAATTCTGAATCCTTCTGAAGCCCACCATTTTGAATCCACCAAACTGGCTCTGGAGGCATGGGAAACCCTCTGGAACCAGTTTTTGATTTTGGGGGAGAAGGGGGAAAAGAGTCCCACCACGCTAATATATTTAGCACGATGCTGGAAGCAGCAGGAGCCTGTCGGGGCCAAGTTGGAAGAGGCTCACCATTCTCTACAGTTTAGATGAGCTTCTGGCTGGCTGGAATCACAAGCCGGCCCTGGCTGCCATCAGATCCATGCTTTTACAACTGAAATATCTAAAGCATGTCATTTGATAGCCCTGTTCAGCTTCAAAATCACATTTTTAACACTGAAACAATTGTCTTGTAACGAGTCAAAGATTTATCTAGTCCACTGCAAGCTAGTTTAGCTGAATGTCCTTAGAAGCTTGCAGAGAGTACAGGAAGGTAATCACCTCTCCTGTAGTTTATTCATAGTACCTGGCAGTCTGAGACAAACAGTTTGTCAGTGCCAAACAGCATCAGTAACTTTACTTACTAAGCACAAATCAAAGCAATGAGACCTGTGTCAGAAGTAACAATTCACATGGGCATCTACACAAAGTGAACAGTCCCCAAAGCATGGAAATTCTTTTCCCTCTTTCTTCCCGTTGAGGCCTGAGTGCATAATAGAAACCTAAAGCTACCACCAGAATTAACAATGTTTTTTTTTTTAAAAAAAATAGCAAATCCACCGCTTGGTGGATTATGCATCTGCTACAAACTGCTTTCAAGTGAAAGGCAAGAACTTACTTTCCCAACGCAAAGCACTCCAACCTCACCGTTGATCCTTTTGCAGATGGGACGGTTTCTGGGAACTGAACTTCAATTTTTGGCTCATATTCACCCATCACTCCTGTGAACATATAACAGATGCTGAATTGGCTTCAGTTTTTGCACTGCATGTCCTCAAGTCATCCTGAGATAACCTGGAGCTGTGTTACCCATTGTTAGGTGCCCAATTAATCTGTTCATTCCAAGCAGGACTGTCTCTCCAACAGCCACCCGCCATGGGCTCCCCTCTTCCATTTATTGCCAGACAAAAATTGGTTTTGCAGCTCTCAGCCATCTGCCTAAGATTACATCTCATCATGGCTCCTTGCCTTTTCATTTCTATGTGTTTTCCTTGTGAAAAGGAAAATGCTAATAAAGTATAATCAATGTGTTTCGGAAAAAGTAATGTAGAGCAAACAACTGTTGCAAAAAGTGTTGATAAAGCACTGACGACTAATCAGACCCTGTGAACGTACAGGCAGAACATCTTTTGAGGTTCTGTGCTGTATGTGTGCAGTTTTGCTGACATTTAATGCCTTAGCATATTACCCTTTACATGGGGCATTTTTAAGTACTAAAATTGCAGTTGCATATTAAATACTGTATTTTCAAAGCCATTATATTTATAGCAAACCAACACATTGCTTACAGCAATCATAGCTAAATGCATCACCAGGGTTTTATATAATCATATTTTTAATGCTAATGCTGGTCCAACTATACTATGAGTGTAGCATTAAGTAAATCAGAATATGAGGAAACCTGCACCTACGATAAAGTAATTATTATATGTGGGTCTAGCCAGCTCATGGATCAGGAAGAGAGGGTGTCTCATCCAAAAATTTCAAGCGGCACCCAACCTGCCCAACCACAAGCTAAAAACATGGAACTATAATATAACTATAATATGGGTCGAATTCAAAACCAGAGTTCCATATTTTCCTGAATGACCCCGGTTCTCATCACAAAGGAAGTTGGGTGCTCATCAGTCTGTACACCGGCCCAAAAACTAAAAGAAATTAAAAGAAGAATGGAGAACAACTATTCAGGTCACATATTTAAGCTGTGAAATTAATATTTTCTGCTTTATGGCTGGGGACGGTCTTCATCGTTGGTAGCAGAGCTTTGGTGCCTTTGGTGCTGTGAGAGTTTTGACCATTCCACGTCTCTTGTCACTATACAATTGTCTGGCAATTAAGCGAAGAAAAAAATCCTTCAACAATCACTTGTCCCAAAGGTAATTTGGGGTGAAAGATTATATGGAAAAACTTCTCTTGTCACTATACAATTGTCTTGCAATTAAGCGAAGAAAAAAAATCCTTCAACAATCACTTGTCCCGAAGGCAATTTGGGGTGAAAGATTATATGGAAAAATGGGCACAAAAATAGCAGTCATAATATTGATGTAGAGCAGTGGACACAAAATGGGCAACCCCCATATTTGAATAAATATGCAAACCAGGTTTTGTCTCAAGCACACTTGATGCAACAAATCAAGGGCTTTGTTATTATGTTGATGTAGAGCAGTGGACACAAAATGGTCCAGGTTTTGTCTCAAGCAGACTTGATGCAACAAATCAAGGGCTTTGTTAGTTGCACTGGGTGTGCTTGAGCTGGAACACATGAAATACTTGGTTGCGGGTTTGGTAAGTGTCACATTTGACTGCATGTTAAAAATATGGCTAAGTCAAAAGAATGGTCCAAAATGTTAAGAGAAGAGATAGTCACTCTTCACAAGCAAGGAACCAGGATACAAAAAGGTAGCAAAGGCACTGAATGTTTCTAGAGACACTGTTGGAAGCATAGTTCACAAGTTCAGAGTTAAAGGAACAGTGGTTACACTACCTGGATGGGGCAGAGAAAGGAAGCTATCAATGGCTGTAACCAGATTTCTGAGAAGTCAGGTTGAGAAACGGAGAAAGTAAGTTATCAATGGCTGCAACCAGATTTCTGAGAAGTCAGGTTGAGAAAAACCCTTAAGTGACTGCAAAGGCCTTGCAGCAAGACTTAGCGGCAACAGGCACTGAGGTTTCAGTTCGCACAGTAAGATGCGGACTAAATATAGAAGGTTTCCTTGCCAGAAGTCCAAAACGTACACCGCTACTAATCCAAAAGCACAAGAAAGGCCAGCTCCAATATGCTCAAAATCATATAAATGTGCCACAGACGTTTTAGGATTCTGTTCTGCGGAGTGGTGAAACAAAACTGGAATTTTTCGGCAGAGTGGTGAAACAAAACTGGAATTTTTCGGCTTGATGGATCAGCCAAAATGATCCATCTGGAGGATATCTGGAGGAAGAATAATGAAACATATGCTGAAAAGAGCACTCTGCCTACAGTTAAACATGGTGGTAGCTTTGTGATGCCCTAGAGCTGCTTTGCATCCTCTGGCACTGGAAATACATGGTGGTGGCTTGGTGATGCCCTACAGCTGCTTTGCATCCTCTGGCACTGGAAATGTGCAGCGTGTGGAAGGCCATATGGATTCACTGAAGTATCAGGAAATTCTACGTGAAAGTGCCATGCCATCTGTAAGGAAGCTGAAGCTTGGGCATTGTGAAAATGCCATGCCGTCTGTAAGGAAGCTTGGGCATCATTTACCCTTCCAACAGGACAATGATCCCAACCATACTTCAAATTCCATGTTGTTCTGTAAGATTCTACAGTAGCCATTGCAGTAACCTAACTTGAACCCTATAGAAAATCTCTGATGGAATTTGAAGAATGTGGTTGTAGCACACAAACCCAAGACTGTTACTGAACTTGAGGCCATTGGTCATGAGGAATGGGCTAATGGTTGTAGGACACAAACCCAAGACTGTTACTGAACTGGAGGCCATTGGTCATGAGGAATGGGCTAAGATTACTCACGAACACTGCCAGAAGCTGGTGTCTGGCTATGCATCTTGTTTGCAGCAGGTCATAACAGCAAAAGGGTGATTTACTAAGTGCTAATGGTGCTTGCCATAAAGAGGTTGCATAATTTTGAGACTGCAGAATTCATTAAAAGTTGCATTTTTCAGTTGAATTTGGGGAAACCGCTTGAAGCATTTGTTGTGTAGTGCCATTTCAATTGCTTTTGTTTGATTTGTTCATTGCAAACAGCTGAAAGCCCATAAATGTTGATAATTAACTTGATTTTTAATTGGGTTTGAATATTTTGATTATAATTGTATGTTCACTGAATCAGAGGGATTTATACAAGTACTGATTCACTATTTAGCAATGGTTTCAGTGGGTATGCTCTAGCTTGGACTATCAACTGGACAGAGGTCTTGACAAATGATCATATTGGCTGGGACTTGGGAACTGAACTCTATAACAGTTGAAGGGTACCAGATTGCCCATCTCACTTGTAAAATAGATTGTGTACTGTCATGATCTTGTTGTTTTTAGAAAAGATCAAAGGCAGAATGACAGGGAAGCTCATTATAAAAAGAAGTGATGATGGTGAGATACAACCCTTGGGCTAGGACAGTACCGTTACAACTTTCCAAGTGAAAACTAAATAGAATCAGAGGAACACAGCCTTCCTTCATTATCATTCTAGACACATTATTGGGCACCTTCTCTTCAGGTTAAAAAAAAAGAGGGTACCACCACAGACAGCTTTTAATTCAGTTGCTTGTGTTTTGTTCTTCTTTTTAACTTTTGTGTATTGATGAGGATAACAATAGGTAGACGACTAATAGCAACTAACTAGCCAACTAGCACAGGGTGGCCAAAATCCTGTTGAGCAGGTTTTGCCTGCATACTGGGAATGATGTCATCATTATCAACTGATTACTGCTGACCAAAAAAACCTTCTTCAATTTCAAGGTGCACACAACTTTGTTTCATTGGACACTGAGAAATCAGAAAGGTATGTCTTAAATAGGCGGTAATCTGTGACTGATGCTAATGTAATCACTATGTGCATATGGAGCTACCCAACAGGATATTGGACAGGGAGTTCTGACATATTTTCTGAACTCATTGAGAATTATAGCATCCCCTCTGAATGGGACCACGCTACTGACAAGCAAAGTACACAATCTCAGCCTCTCATGTAATGGTTTATTGAAAAAAGCGTAGGACTTTGTTCCATTACGTCACACTGGCTGGAATAAAATAACAGCCACAATGGCAAAAAGCAGTAGACCTGTTTGGACAATAATTGTCCCAGCCAGTTTCTACAATGGAAAAAAAAGGAAAGGAAAAAGAAAAAAAACTGCATGACAAGTAGCTAAAATTCCAGGTGAAGTGTCATACAAGACCTACCCTGTTGGTCGTCTTCTATGTGCATTTTATGTCATATAGGGAGACTAAAATGTCCCTTCTTGGTGGATGAGGGTTATGAGTCTGATCAGGATAATGTTTAGTACAACTCTAACAAACAAATAAATAAGGTGACTACTGAGCACAGTTCACACAGTTTTCCTAAGGGCAAGTTCATGGAACCTGTGACAACTTTATTTTGTTCAGATGTTGCAACGGCCTTGTAACTTGTAAGAGATAAGCCCAGAGCAAGAGACTGAGTTACAGCTCAGGTTCTTTCCTTCTCAGCATGGATGGAAAGTTAACAACCTCCATGCTCACAGTGAACATACACAGAGAATCAAAGAAGCGATGCTGTCAACAAGTTGTTCTGTGCAGTGAAACATAATAAGGGTACTTCAGCTGAGCAGATTACCAGTTGTAAGCTGTTTTTAAAGCTATGACTCCCCACTGCCATTGTTACCCTTTCTTTGAACACTGATTACTGGAGGAACCTATGGGCAATTTGAAGTCCAGGCTGAAAGTATACTTATGATAGATGGCAGAAAGGTAGTCTAAAAACAAAGATGAATTTTACCATGGAAAGGCAAGAACAAAGGCTATTTTTAAAGATTTTATACTACTGTATCTAGATTGCCTTTTATCCTGCTCTTGTCACAACGAAATAAATACTGCCTCTATAGAGGAGCCACAAACTGGTGTAATATTGATCCAAGGAACTGTCTAAACAAAAAGTCTACTTTTACCATTGCTTGACTGTCGCTGTTTTTGATACATTTTAGTTCCCTGTGGAGAAAATGCTATCTGGTATTGAAAATGCCTGATCAAGGGGTTATGGAGCACTTTCTGATTGTCCCATACAATATACAGAAAGAGCCCAATTTAAGTGAAAAAGAGAATGAAATATTGCTTCCAAAAAGCTCTGCAGCAACATTTGAAGTTTTACATCTGAGCAGCCTTGAGAGGGAGTTAAGGCACAGAATTAAAAGGAGAATAGGCCACCCAGATACAGGACACAATTATTTACTGATGACTGATCTTCTACAGAAGCCCAAGGAGAAAAGGTAGGGTAAAAGGGGGGCAGGCATCTATTCTGACTTGGGAATAAGCCGTACTCAACTCCCTTGGGCTGACTTTGTTTGTTTGTTTGTTTGTTTGTTTGTTTGTTTGTTTGTTTCTTCTATTTTATTTATTTATTTATTTATTTATTTATTTATTTATTTATTTATTTATTTATTTATTTATTTCCCGCCTATCTGGTCAATTAAGACCACTCTAGGTGGCTTCTGAGCAGATATGTATAGCTTGGCTTTGTAAGCAATACAAAATACTGATATCTAAAAATGTAATAAATCAGTATTCTCCCTAGCTGTTAAATGGCCAGTTTTCCATCATCCCTGATTAATAATTTTAATGTATCTCAAATACTTCTGAACACTCACATTGACACCTTATGGTTCAGTTGAAAATATCACTATTGTGTATCTTGAGGAGATGTATGCCACATTAAAACTGCATTTGGATTTTGTGTCCCTGTCACACCCACACACCACTCCAAAATAGTAACAACAAAACAGAGAGGTTGATCAGGATGAGGCATGTACTGTATTGTATAGCCAGGGGTGGGAATGGTCGTTTCCTTCAGTGATGGAATCTCTACATTTCTAAAGGTACAATTTGGCACTCGAGTGGAACTGCCATGGGTCGCAATGGATACTTCTTGTCTACCTCACATAGCAATTCGCAGGAGGTGAGAGAGAATTTTTTTGGATTTGAGGAAAAAGTTAATCCCAACCCACTCATGAGCATGCCCTGCTCCTGATTACAGCCCTAACATTACAGTAATTTAAAAAATAGATATGGAAGCAACAAGCAAATATTTTAAAACTGTGCAGTCTTGCCTTTAGTTTCTGGCTGACAAGGCAGTATATGTCTGTAATCAGACCAATACACAAATAACTTCCATTTGAATAAACATCTAACTTATTTGAATTTGTGTGGGCAAGGTACAGATGTGTGTAGGTGTGTGGAGAAAGAAATAGGCTTTTTTTGTGTGCCATGACTATGTTATTTTGTCAATACATTTTCATATCTTTCTGCTATTAATCTCTCTTCCGATACCTTTCACAATTCTCTGCAGCATGCCGTGCATCAAAATGATGAATTGAACACTTCACTGTATTTTACGTTAAATGGGAGTGGAACTTTATGAAATTTCTTTGTCTTACACTTATTTGTGTAATTTGGGTGTTAAACATTGATGAATTTGCCTCTTAGTCTTCTAATTAAATGATGAAATGCTCTAATGAAAATAATCTATCATGCATATTGAGATGTACTGGACATGCCAAACTCAGGGTTTTTTTTTATTTTAAAAAAGGCAATCCAGATGTGGCTGTCAGCCTCCTCCAACAGCCACACTAATTTGTGTTCTTTGTGTTTGCGTTCTTTGCTTTCCTGAAAAGTGAGTCCAATCAGTTAGCCTCAGAACATTCGGAACATTATAACAACCTAGTGTGCATTGCATATAAACATGAGAGTCATCAGCTATGGAGGTCTGGAAACTGAAAATTAAAAATAGAATGATCAGGCTGTTTTATGATGTCTCATTTCAAAATATACATTTAACGTATTTTCAACTGTACTAACAGTTCATCCGCCAAGAAAACAAGATAATCTCATGCTGAGAGGAACGCTGCTGATCCTTCTTGTTGAACTGAATAAAGTACTCCAGAATATCTGTGCTAAAACACTAGGATGCACTTTACTTTTCAAGAATGTTCCTGTGAATTACTTCAGGAGGACAGTGGCAAATATGCTAGAATAAGTGCAAAGCACAAATTCCTTAAGGAATCACTCGTAGTGCTAACACATGCTCTAGTCACCATCATAATTGTTATAGTAAAGCATAACTGCAAGTATTTCATCAAATCTGAACCCCAGAGACAAATACTTCGATCCTCAACAACACAAGAGCAAAAGTGACTCAGACGTACACTCACACAATACTTCAAGACCACTACAATTTGGCTTCTTCACTATGTATGCAAGACTCTTGTGTATATTCAGAGTTCCATGTCTGACCATAATGCATAATTACTTTCCTGAATAGTTAGAGGATTCACTTGAAGTTCCCTGAAGGCATCTTAAGTCCTTCCTAAGTACTATATATCATAGTTATTAATCACAGTATAAACAGTTTTTCAGTGATAACAGATCTCCAGTAGAAACTGCTTCCATGTAGCTCATTCTTCCTATTGAAGATAAATTCCAAATGTTCTTGAGAAATAAGGCCACACCATATCATATTAAGTGAAGTTAGAATGCCTTGATTGCTCATTTACTTTATTGTATATTAGTAGTTACAGGATTGAATATGTCCCCTGTCTGATTTATTTTCATAGCGATCTTGTAAAGAAACTTCAGCAAAGAGATTTTCCCAGACTGTCAAGGAGAACAGTTGAAACCTCCATTTCTAGGTCAGATCTCTATATTATAAAATATTTTTAATGAAGTGTAAAATCAGCATTTACAATTACCCCCTTTCCCAAAGTACAGGATTTATATTTTACACAGTAATGGAAGAACAAAACTTTCTTGCATCTTTGCTTTCAGCAAACAGAACAGCTACTTCTTCCTGCAACCTGATCCAGCAAGTCACCTGAGGCAGCATCACCTGATTATTCTCTCCTCTGACTACCAGTACTGGGAGATATTAAGAATCTAACGTCCATTCCCCCCTTCCTTTTTTTATCTCTTTCCTTTCCCTATCCTTCCTTGCTTCATGAAGGGATCTGCGGAGACTGGAAGCTTACACAGAGCTTTATACTTTTCTCCTTTATTCTTTTTATCTGGCTTAATAAGGAAAATAACCTAATATGCACTTTGGATTTCAACTTGCTGTTTCATTTCCTACAAAGATGCTGAAGTTCAGAATATAACAGATCTCCAGTAGAAACTGCTTCCATGTAGCTCATTCTTCCTACTGAAGATAAATTCCAAATGTTCTTGAGAAATAAGGCCACACCATATAATATTAAATGAAGATAGAATGCCTTGATTGCTCCTTTACTTTATTGTATATATTTAGTAGTTACAGGATTGAATATGTCCCCTGTCTGATTTATTTTCATAGCGATCTTGTAAAGAAACTTCAGCAAAGAGATTTTCCCAGACTGTCAAGGAGAACAGTTGAAACCTCCATTTCTAGGTCAGATCTCTATATTATAAAATATTTTTAATGAAGTGTAAAATCAGCATTTACAATTACCCCCTTTCCCAAAGTACAGGATTTATATTTTACACAGTAATGGAAGAACAAAACTTTCTTGCATCTTTGCTTTCAGCAAACAGAACAGCTACTTCTTCCTGCAACCTGATCCAGCAAGTCACCTGAGGCAGCATCACCTGATTATTCTCTCCTCTGACTACCAGTACTGGGAGATATTAAGAATCTAACGTCCATTCCCCCCTTCCTTTTTTTATCTCTTTCCTTTCCCTATCCTTCTTTACTTCATGAAGGGATCTGTGGAGACTGGAAGCTTATACAGAGCTTTATACTTTTCTCCTTTATTCTTTTTATCTGGCTTAATAAGGAAAATAACCTAATATGCACTTTGGATTTCAACTTGCTGTTTCATTTCCTACAAAGATGCTGAAGTTCAGAATGAAATTTTTAAAAAATCATACCATCGTTTCTCAGGATTAGAGGTGTAGGAGGTCCCAGTACTCTGGTGTTGGTTACAGTGTTTGTCACCACACACGTATAATTTCCCACATCGGATTTCTCCACTTTAGCTATGTACAAATTTCCAGTCTCTTGAGAAACAAAGCGACGGTTATCCTGATGCACAAAAGATGGGTATTCATTGAAGATCCAGGCATAGATCAATTCTGAAATAAATAAATAAATAAATAAACAAACAAATAAACAAACACAGTGCCCAATTGCCCATGATCATGCATATAACTTTTCAGCCTATCAGTAGTCTGGAACATTATCAGTCAAGATGAATGGATAAGTCAGAGAATAAAGAAACATAACTTTCATTCCTCGCAAAAGTAACTGAAAATGACATATAAGATTTTAAAATATTACGTAGGTTTCTTTAAGGATGACAGCTGCAGCACTAATGGTGAGCTGGATAAACCATATTTATTTATTTATTTATTTATTTATTTATTTATTTATTTATTTATTTATTTGACTTCTAAGCAGAATTGCTTAGAAGAAACCTGGTGGGTATAGGCAGGAATAGGTTTCACACTTTCCAATTCTGTCATGTTATGCAGACTGTATTATTTGTTGGTAGTTAAAAGAGAAAATGTTAGCTTTCCCTATGTAAATTCAATGTGTCTATTCCAGTAAAGCATTCAGTAAAGGGGATACTCCAAGCATGCCCCAACTCTTCCACCATTCAAGTATGGAGAGTTCAGTCGGAAGAGGGGTCTCTATTCATGGAGTTATCTCCCCATGACCTGGTTTCTGATTGCACAGAGAGTCCCCATGGATAGAGACTGCTCTCTTCTTCCAATTCAGCATGCCACATGTGAGTACATGGATGGAGGCACACACAGCTAATCTGCAGCCTTTGCTCCCAGTCTAAACCTCTTTTTGAAGGGATAAATATATTCATCTTAATTGCTTACAACACCAACAAAAGCCATTCATTTTCAAAGTACCAGTGAAAAATGATCAGAAATTTTTAATTTCAAAAATATCACTGCAGGCAATTATGTCACCAGCCTTATTTAACACAGGTTGCGCAACAGGATTTCAGCCAATAAAAATAGAAATATTATAAACACATAGCTAATACACCAGGATATCTGCTTCTCTTAATTTTTAAAGGACCATGAAGGATCTCCATGTGCAGTGCCAGAATAAACATTTGCTGCATGATCAAGTTCTCAATTGACTGTTCAATGCAATGCATCCTCTTGGAATGAACAGGAGATTCACTCTGGAAAGACTTAACTTTTGACTATTCAAGAATAAACAGTCTTTGGGGTATATATTTCTTCCCACTTCTCAATGCCAAACAGATTTCTTGTACAGCTATGCTTTGATACACCCTGGAGGATAAGGAAAAACCATGCACATTAAATGAAGTAGTAATCAACCGCATTATGACTAATTAGATAATACCTCTACATTTATGGCATACCTTGGAAATTATCCAAGAAGGGACAAGTGGGACAACTTTGCAAGTAAACTCTAGCACTTAGGTTAATTTAATTTAATTTAACCTCACTGTATTAATATAAGCTAATACCCAAAACATCCTGAAATACCCAGGAAATTAGAGAACAGCAAGATGTTGTCACGTTATTGGAGTAGTGCTAATTACACTGAAAAAGGGATCTTCTTATTTCAATATTCTCTAAGGAGTCATGCTTGTAATTGACCCCTGCTATTGTGATGCAGTTTAAGAATACACAGGGCCCAGTCTGCCCAACAGATCGGCTGCATAACCACCATCTATTTCATAGGGGTTTGCATAGACTTATTCTGGTCTAACATTTCCTTGTTTACTAACAAAGGATGAAAGCATGTAGACTGTTGGGCTTTCATAATAACAAAACCCCCACTGGGCTGGATACCATCTTCCTAGACTTTTTGGAAGATATGATAATTATGTTTATGTGGGATTATCTAATCATTATATTTACACATGTGCATCTAATTACGAGTAACCCCATGCTGATGTCAAGAGGATACTCTCAGTAAACAAGGTAGCCCTTCTCAGCAGGTATAATTTTTTTCTGCAGGTAATTAGCATTTGTTTTTGTTCTAATTTACACTTGCCAAACAATTAACTTGTTTCCTGTAAAAGAAGGCAATAGTAGGCAGCCATTCCTACTACAGCATGTATGGAGAGTTTCTTTCTTTCTTTCTTTCTTTCTTTCTTTCTTTCTTTCTTTCTTTCTTTCTTTCTTTCTTTCTTTCTTTCTTTCTTTCTTTCTTTCCTTTCTTTCTTTCTTTCTTTCTTTCTTTCTTTCTTTCTTTCTTTCTTTCTTTCCTGAAGCTTTCAATTACTGTCCACAGACTCTACAAGGAAGAATCTTGAAGAATAAACCTATTAAGCATCTCCTTAACAGTGAATTTATGGCCCCTCTTCAGATTCAAGAGAATCTTGTGAGGGAACTTGTTCGAAATCTGAGACTACTTGGGTGGGACCAGTCACAGAGATCTTTTCCATGGGGTCAACAAATCAATGGATATCAAATTCACATCATCCTGCTTTTAAGACACCTATTCATTTATTTAAATAACCTCCAGTTTATGAATGTGGGATATTGTGCTTCTTTACCTATAATTAAAAAAATCAGGAAATGGCCCAATATTGCTGCACAGTATTGTGCCTGTGCCATTAGCAGGAAAAAGGATGCCAAGCTTTACATAGCAAAAGGCAGCCTGAATGTTGACAACACTAATGACAGCAGACAAGATGGTCTACAGGATACTCTCTTCTGCTCACTACCATTCATACTTGTTGAAAAACAGCCCTTTGTGTTTGGGTGAAAACTGGTGAACCGATGAAAAAGAGCGAGTCAGTTTCTGGGATTTTGTAAAGGAAAAAAAGCTCCAATATGGTCAGAGAATAGGTTGACAATTTCTGGTAAATCTGGTAGCCCAAGGATCAGATCTGCGCAATCTGGTCTCTGATAAATAAATGTATGCCGTAATTCCCCTCTTGCCACTGCCCACTAAGCAGACAGCTGTCCAGTTTATTTCTTTCCACCTACAACCGGCAGCCTCAGTTCTTCCTATGGTTCCTTTCACTCTGTGTAACACTTCTCAATCTTTAAGTGAAAGGTGGCACAATTAATGTCACAGCCACACCACAACATTTGCCTATAAAAGTTTCAACACACCAGAAGCTGAATAAACAAGACTGAAATAAACTGCCGGGTTGACAATAAATATTCTAGCTGCCCACAATCAAGTGGCTATAATAACACTGGGTTACTTTACTGACTGTATAACTCACAGTTTCTTATCCACAGGTAAAGGTAAAGGTTCCCCTCTAGGGTAAGGTAAAGGTAAAGGTAAAGGTTCGACTCTAGGGGGCGGTGCTCATCCCCATTTCCAACCCACAGAGCCAGCGTTTTGTACAAAGACAGTCTTCCATGGTCCCATGGCCAGTGCGACTTAGACACGGAACGCTGTTACCTTCCCACCGAGGTGGTCCCTATTTATCTACTCACATTTGCATGCTTTCGAACCGCTAGGTTGGCAGGAGCTGGGACAAGCGATGGGTGCTCACTCCGTCGCGTGGATTCAATCTTATGACTGCTGGTCTTCTGAACCTGCAGCACAGGCTTTTGCGGTTTAGCCCACAGCGCCACCACGTCCCTGCTTCTTAGCCACAACCCTGCCCCATATTGATAAAGATAGGTTTTACATGCACACATTAGGAGGGAAATCTGTATGCTCATTGTAATTCAAGGGTGATAAAATATTGTAAAAAATGTAGAAGCAGCATCATTAGAGACAAATCTATGGAACACTCACTGAATTCCAGGTTTTTGATACTGAAGGGTGTTTTGCCATGAGAATACACCTTGATGAGAAATTTCAAGTCCTATGAGAACCCTGACTTGCAGTATGAGAGCAACAAAAGATCTTTCTTCCCCATAAAGATCTCTGCAATCTACACAATAGGTCTTTTGCAAAACTAATGACCTTCCCTTTGACAAATAAAGCACACACACACACACAGCAAGTACAGAATGAGTAGGTGATTATTCAAAAGACACTAAAACTCATTCATTGCTTCTGATTCTTAAAAGTCTCAGCAGAAGCTCTTGTAATTTCAGACAATTTACATAATACGTATTATGGCAATATTTGTAACAGGTATCAATCCTGCCAGTGTGAAACTCTTTTTGTGACTGACAAGCACTCACCCTTTCGAAGATAAGAATTAAGATCTGCTAAATCTGCTGTCCTTCACTGGAAGGACAGGTCCTGAAGCTGAGGCTCCAGTACTTTGGCCATCTCATGAAAAGAGTAGACTCCCTGGAAAAGCCCCTGATGGTGAGAAAGTGTGAAGGCAAGAGGAGAAGGGGACAACAAAGGACGAAATGATTGGACAGTGTCATTGAAGCTACCAACATGAATTTGACCCAACTTCAGGAGGCAGTGGAAGACAGGAGGGCCTGGCACGCTCTGGTCCATGGGGTCACAAAGAGTCGGACGCGACTAAATGACTTAACAACAACAAGTCCTCTGCTGTAACAGGTGGGGTTGGGAGACTCATCTCCAGAATTTTGCAAAGTCTGGCAGGCAGACTATCAACAGAAAAGGTCTGACAGGTCACTGTAATATTCCTGCTGGAGGCAGTGGAAGACAGGAGGGCCTGGCACGCTCTGGTCCATGGGGTCACAAAGAGTCGGACGCGACTAAATGACTTAACAACAACAAGTCCTCTGCTGTAACAGGTGGGGTTGGGAGACTCATCTCCAGAATTTTGCAAAGTCTGGCAGGCAGACTATCAACAGAAAAGGTCTGACAGGTCACTGTAATATTCCTGCTGATAAATTTATTTATTTATTTATTTATTTATTTATTTATTTATTTATTTATTTATTTAATATCCCGCCTATCTGGTTGGATTAGGACCACTCTAGACGGCTAACAACATAAAATAGTACAATAAATATATATAAAACAATTTTACATAACAGAAGCATTAAATAAGATGGTAAAAACAATAGATGGGAAAGAAAAGGGCATCAGGAATTTGTTGTTGTTTAGTTGTTAAGTTGTGTCCAGCTGTTCGAGACCCCACAGACCAGAGCATGCCACGCCCTCCTGTCTTCCACTGCCTGTTGAGGTTGGGTCAAATTGATGTTGGTAGCTTCGATGACACTGTCCAACTATCTCA